TCCACCAGCAGGTTAAAATAATCAGGGTAGGGAAAAGTTATGAATGTTTACACAATTCCCAGCTTGGTCCTGTAATATTTAACAGTTATGACCTTCTTGCCCTTCTTCTCCCTAGACCAGTGGTTCTCAAATGGAGGTGATTTTGTGCCTCAGAAGATAATTGGCAATGTCTGGAGACATTTTTGGTTGTCACCCCTGGGGGTTGGTGGTGTGCTACTGACATCGAATGGGTAGAGGCCAGGGATGCTGCTGAACATCCCACAATGCACAGATCATCCTCTATCCTGCCCCGCCCCCAAGGAATTATTTGCCCAAAAAATGTCAGTAATACTGAAGCTGAGAAACTCTGGTCTGGACTTGGAGGACTTGTTAGATTTGAGGACTTGGAAAGAGGGTGATGGTGAGGGCAGCCATTGACAGTCTTTTAATGTGGTTCCAGCTGTCATTAACCATTGCTTTCAGGTCTCTATGGAAAACATGAGAGGGAACAATCGTCATAGCTTCCATTTACTGAGTGTCATGTACAAAGTGCTGGAATTATTTTATTTAAACTTCACAATAAGCTGGACTGACTATACACTTCATGAGAGCAGGGTTCATGTCTGTTTCTCTCATTACTGTACACTTTTTAATACAGTGCCTGGCTCATGGCAGGCCTTCAACGTTGGATACTCGGGGTAATTATATCCATTTTACACAGGAGAAAAACGAGGCTTGAAAAATCCACACAGCTAGTGTTAAGTAGCAGAGTCAGGATTTGAACTGACCATGTGTGACTTCAGCACCAACTCACTTACCCACTGAATTATATCCGTCACTTGCAGCACCAGAGAGGTGTTCTGGCCTCTAAAATCATTAGTGAAGGGTTGAGGGAGGAGAAAGGAGTTTTTAAAAAATAAGATTAAAAAAGAAAACACCTACCTCTGTGTGGAAAATGAGGTGGAAGAAGGGCCTTATGGAGCCATCTCTGGTTCTGATGGGATCTTCCCTCGTTTCTGAACAGTGATTTTGGCTTGTCAAGTGTTTCTGTGTGTGCTGTCAGAGCAGCACATTTTGCAGAGGAGGAAACTGAGGCACAGAAGTTACATGAGAAAGTAGCAGTGGATAGAGGACTAGAACTTCGGGGAAAGAATGTTCCAGCTCCTGGGCACCCGCCGGTAGTCGCTGAGAAAAGCGCTTCCTGGGAGTAGACACTCAGCTCGCTCAAATCCTTCCCTGGCAGAAGCAAAGCCCAGGTAATCTCTTAGTCTTTCTACCCTGGCTAGACAAGCCACACGGGACTACACGTCCCAGCTGTCACTGCGGAATTCCGCAGAGCGTAGAAGCGCCTAAGTGGTGTGCGTACTACAACTCCCGGCGTGCAGTAGGCGGGGCGGGACTACATTTCCCAGGAGGCAGAGGAAGGGGCGGGAGGGGGCGGGCCGCGGCGCTGCTCCCGCCCCTCCCCCGTGCTCGCGCGGAGAGGTAAACAAACCGCGCGCGGGCTGCCGGCGGCGCGGCCAGGGCAGCGGGGCGGCAGGCGCGGCGGGGCCCCGGGCGGCGGACAGCACGCCGAGCCGCGGCCGTGCTGGCCCGCCCGCCCGTCCGTCGCACATGTCCCGGGGCGGTGACGGACTGTAGCCGCCTGCGGCGCCTCCTGTCGGCCGGGGAAGGGAGCGCGGAGAGGCCCTGGTCGCCGCCGCGGTGCCCATGGAGCGGGTGCGGATGATCAACGTGCAGCGCCTGCTGGAGGCGGCCGAGTTTTTGGAGCGCCGGGACCGAGGTAACGGCTGGGCGCCGCCGCCTCTGCCACCGCTTGAGCCCGCGCACTCCTGCTCCGCGCGGGGAGTGCGGTGCGGCGGGTGCGGGGTGCGCGTGTGAGGGGAGGTGCGCGCGGAGGAGCGGTGCGCGTGTAAGGAGTGAGCATGTAAGGAGTGTGCGCGTGTGAGGAGGGGTGCGCGTGAGGAGTGAGCGCGTGTGAGGGGTGCGCGTGTAAGGAGTGTGCGCGTGTGAGGAGGGGTGCGCGTGTAAGGAGTGTGCGCGTGTGAGGAGGGGTGCGCGTGAGGAGTGAGCGCGTGTGAGGGGTGCGCGTGTAAGGAGTGTGCGCGTGTGAGGAGGGGTGCGCGTGAGGGGTGCGCGTGTAAGGAGTGTGCGCGTGTGAGGAGGGGTGCGCGTGTGAGGAGTGAGCGCGTGAGCAGGGGTGTGCGCGTGAGGGGTGAGCGTGTGAGGACGCCTGTGCGCGGCGTGTGCACGTGCGAAGAGGGTGCAGGTGGGAGGGCAGTGTGCGTGTGAGGCGATTGCGCGTGCGAAGCGGTGAGTGCATGCGGGTGCCAGCTGAAGGTTGCGCGTGTGATGGGAGACGCATGTATGAACATGGATGAAGGGGGCTTGTATGAGAGCGGTGCGCGCGTGAGGACGGGTGCACGCATGCGTGTGAGGGGAGATGTGCGTGTGTAGGGTTCTGTGTATGCTGAGGCTGTGGCGCGTGAGGGGGTGTGCGCGTGAGGACGCGCGTGTGGGTGAGGCGTTTGCGCGCGAGGCGGGTGCGCGTGTGGAGGGTGCGCATGAAGAGGGGTGCGCGCATGAAGAGGGGTGCGCGCACGAAGAGGGGTGCGCGTGTGGAGGGTGCGCGCATGAAGAGGGGTGCGTGTGTGGAGGGTGCGCGTGTGGAGGGTGCGCGTGAGGAGGGTGCACATGTGGAGGGTGTGCGTGTGGAGGGTGTGCATGAAGAGGGGTGCGCGCATGAAGAGGGGTGCGCGCACGAAGAGGGGTGCGCGTGTGGAGGGTGCGCGCATGAAGAGGGGTGCGTGTGTGGAGGGTGCGCGTGTGGAGGGTGCGCGTGAGGAGGGTGCACATGTGGAGGGTGTGCGTGTGGAGGGTGTGTATGAAGAGGGGTGCGCGCATGAAGAGGGGTGCACGCACGAAGAGGGGTGCGCGCACGAAGAGGGGTGCGCGTGTGGAGGGGTGCGCGTGTGGAGGGTGCGCGTGTGAAGAGGGTGCACATGTGGAGGGTGCGTGTGGAGGGTGTGCATGAAGAGGTGCGCGCATGAAGAGGGGTGCGCGCACGAAGAGGGGTGCGCGTGAGGAGGGTGCGCGTGTGGAGGGTGCGCGTGAGGGCACTGCGTGTGCAAAGGGCCGTGTGTGCGGAGGCGTGCGTGCATGCAGCTTTTGCGCGTGAGGGGAGCTGCACGCACGAGGAGGGTGCGCGCGCGAGGGGTGCTCTGTGAGGGGAGATGTGCGTGTCAGTCGCGGGTCGCGCTGGCCGGTTCGGCTCGGCGGTTAGCGTGGGCCGGGAGAGCGGTTCGATTCGGTCCGGAGCAGGACCTCGGCTGCGGTTCCGCTGGGCCTGGCCGGTCTCACATCGACGCCCCCCCATCTGAAAATCAGTGGGAAAATCTCTTCATCCTTAAGGGAGGACAGGACAGGACAAGTGTGTGAGGAGTCTGTGTACAGGAGGCGATTGGCGTGCGAGGAGGGCGCGCGCTAAGCGGGTGCGCGGAGGGGTGCACAGAGGAGGTGGTGCCCGAGGCCCGAGCGCAGTGAGCGGGCTGCGTGGCCGCAGGAACAGCGCGCTCGGGAGGGAGCCGTGTGTGCGCGGGCAGTGCATGTGTAAGAGTCGCGTGTGAGGAGGCGATGGCGCCTGTGAGCAGGGTGTGCGTGTGAGGACGCGTGTGTGAGGGGAGGTGTGCGTGTGGGGGTGTGGGGGCGAGGACGCGGGTGTGGGTGAGGCGTTTGCGCGTGTGACGTGCATGTGTGAGGAGGTGCGCGTGTGAGGGGGGAGGAGGCCGCACGCAAGAAGAGGGTGTGCGCGTGAGGGGGACGTGCGTGAGGACTGTGTGCACAGTCGTGTGAGGAGGCGATCGCGCATAGGAGGGGGGTGTGCGCGAGGACACGTGGGTGGGAGGAGGTGCGCGTGTGAGGGGGGAGGAGGCCGCACGCAAGAAGAGGGTGTGCGCGTGAGGGGGACGTGCGTGAGGACTGTGTGTGCACAGTCGTGTGAGGAGGCGATCGCGCATAGGAGGGTGTGCGCGAGGACACGTGGGTGAGACGTTTGCGCGTGTGAGGGGTGGTGCACGTGTGAGGAGGGTGCACGTGTGAGGAGGGTGCACGTATGGAGAGGGTGCGCGCATGAGAGGGGTGTGCGCGTGCGGAGTTGTACTCGTGGGGGGAGATGCGCACGTGAGGAGCAGTGCGCGTGTGAACTTGGGGGGAGGGGTGTGTGAGGCCGCACACGAGTGAGGGGAGGCGCTTGTGGGTGTGTAGGCGCAGGAGGGGGCGGGGCGGGGGCCAGGGAGGAGGGGGCGCTAGGACAGGAGGGGGAGGGGGGCAGGTGGCCCAGAGGGGAGGTGATTCTGAGGACGGGGGGGGGGGGGGGGGGGGCAGGGGTGGGAGCTGCACAGATAGAGGCGGGGAGACAAGGCTGAGAGCAAAGGCGGGGGGGAGAGGAGGACGCGCACTGGGGAAGGGGCCTCTGAAGAGCCGTCAGGGCGTGGTGACTCGGGATCCCCTGGGGTGATGCCAACGGGGATGTCCGGAGATGGGGTTACAGAGTAGGAGCGGTGGGCATTGTGGTGCCGGAGAGACGAGGTCCCGAGCCCAGGTGATTGGATTCTTTCAAGGACAAGAAAATGTGGTGTTTGGAGGGACACCGTCTAGAATGGGGAGAGTTAAAGGAAAGGGGGTTATTTTGAGACAAGTGAAATAATTGAGGTGAGTGGTAACCAGGCTCAGAAATGAGAGAGAGTCAAGAATTCTTGGAGAAACGGATTTTGCAGAGGGATAAACTACGTGATTGAGAGGAAGTGTCCATGCCCCTTCCAGGCAGCGGGTTGAGTCTGCGTGTCATGCTTCAGGATTGATGTCCAGGTAAGGGCTGGGAATTTCCTCTTTCAACCAAAAAGTATGGAAAATTATCACCTCTTTTTCTTGTGTTAACAGCCTGTTATGGCAAGGACTTCAGATCTGTGGATCCCTGCATTTGGGTGTATTTCTCTCATATATTTTTTTCTTGCTCTCTTTAGAGTGTGAACATGGCTACGCCTCAACGTTCCCCTCTATGCCGAGCCCCCGGCTGCAGCATTCAAAGCCCCCGCGGAGGCTGAGCCGGGCGCAGAAACACAGCAGCGGGAGCAGCAACACCAGCACTGCCAACAGGTGGGAGTTTTAGGAAGGACAGCTGGAGGGAGGAAGCCCCCCCCCCCCCCCCCCCCCCCCCCGCTGACCTTGGGGCAACACTGAATAGCCAAATGGACCTCAGTTTTCTTTTTTTTTTTTTTTCTATCCTCACCCGAGGACATTTTTCCATTTTCTGTTCAGGTAGAGTGGGAGGGAGAGAGAGGAACAGAGAGAGAGAGAGAAACATCGATGTGAAGGGACACATCGAGTGGCTGCCACCCTCACGGCCAACCGGGGCCGGGGACAAACTGCAACCGAAGTACGTGCCCTTAGCGGGAACCGAACCCGGGTCTCTCAGGACCACAGGCCGACACTCTAACCGCTGAGCCAAACCGGCCAGGGCTGGACCTCAGTTTTCTAATACCAAGACTGGGGCAACACTGAACAGCCAAATGGGTTCTTTTGCCACCACCCGTAGGGGTTTGGCCCTTTTAAGATAATAAAGTCTAGGCCCAGCGGTTAGAGCGTCGGCCCGCGGATCAGAGAGTCCTGGGTTTGGTTCCCGCTAAGGGCACGTACCTCGGTTGCGGTTTGTCCCCAGCCCTGGTTGAGGCTGTGTGGGTGGCAACCACTCGATGTGTCTCTTCACATCGATGTTTCTCTCTCTCTTCCTCTCTTTCCCTCCCGCTCTATCTGAAGATAAATGCAAAAAAGAAAAAAGAAAACAGGAAAGTCTAGGAATCATAACCTGTGTGGAAATGAAGGAATAGAATCTGGAAAGACAACCAAAGAAGTTCTTGCTAGGATTATTAAGTGGAGAGGTCTATAATTTCTAGGGAAAGTAGGTTGAGAGACTTTGTAGCATATGTACATGCATGCAACTACATGCTAAAAGTAATCTTGGGCCAGCTTTAAACTTGGATGATCCAAGAAGAATTTTTAAAAATCAAGAAATATCTCAGGCAGGATAGAAAGCAGAATTAAGGTTTTTATTAAAGGAACAACTATTGTCACGTAGAGTAGGAAGTTAGTGGGCATGGTCTGTTTGTTGCTTAGGGATGAAAGGGAAGGCCATGCTATGAAAGTTTTGCCTCTTATTTAATGATAAGATTGAATTTGTAAGGGAGCTTTTAAAGCAAAAATATTTTTAAAAGGAAAGATGCTTATTCTTTATTCAGAACAGGTCACTAGAAAATGCTTGTCTGGATGTGCTCAGACACAGTTGAGTTCCATTTTTTAAAAATAATTTTGGTAGTGTCTGGCTGTCTCTTCAGTATTTTTGTTCCAGAGGGCCAATGAATTTTAAGGATTCATCTCATGAAATTTTCAAAAAGCTGTCTTCAAAGAAAATTAACAGATGATGCCTTTTCCATTGATGAGAGGAATTGAGACCTTTCCCCCTGATTCCCAAAGCTTTGTCTAGATAATGTAAACATTCATTTTGGAGAAGCTTAGAGCAATCTCTGGTAGCTTGAAGGCTTTGGAGAACTCCAGACAGGTAGTTGGGTAGTCACGTCGGTAGGCAGCAGGACTAGGGGCTCTTAGTACTTGATGCAGAAAACCTGAAGCTCCTGTAGATGACAGAGCTCAAAAGGTTAGATATTCCTATTCTGCATTTATGACATCACTGAAGCAAAACTAGGATTCTCTCTTCTCCCTTTGACTCATAAAGCTGCATGTTTCTTTTTTTGGCCTTTTTTCTCCTTCAAGACTATTCTCTATTTTTAAAATGTAATTTAAAAATAATTAACCATAAGCTTTATATGCCATATTTATGTTTATCTGTGGGTCTAGAGGGTTTATTATTCCCTAAGTAGGTTTGAGATGAAAATTTGTAGTATAATACGCATTTTAAAAATTAAGTATAAAAAAAATAAAATGCAATAAAATAAAATAAAATAAAAAATTAAGTATAAATTTTCTTTCTCTTCAGTTTCTCTGGTTAAGGTATCAGCAATTAAGACCTATATTCCGGAATTTATGGGTTTTTCAATCCATGTGTGGATTTTTAAAAAATTATTTTTTAATTGTGGAGATCTGGGAAGAGTATCAACTAGGACACCAGACCTGGGTTCTGTCATGCTACAAGTATTTATTGAGTCTTTTTTATCTTCTAGAAATCAGGTATATGATCTCACTGCATTTTCTCTCTGTCACTTAACATTCTTGTTTTTAAAATAAGAAAGAAAGACCACTTACCTTTTGAGACTACATGGACGGACCTGGAGAGTTAATACGCTAAGCAAAATAAACCAGTCAGAGAAAGACAAGTATCATATGGTCTCACTTATTTGTGGAATATATTGAACAGAATAAGTTGTCGAACAACATAGATCCAGAGACATGGAAGTAGGGAACAGACTGACAAACCACAGAAGGAAGGGGGTTGGGAGGCAGGAGGAGATAAACCAAAGAACTTATATGCATATGTGCATAACTAATGGACACAGACAACAGTGCAGTGAAGGTAGGGAAGTAGTGGGAGTGGAGAGGGAGGTGTCAATGAGGGGAAAAAAGGAGGGACAACTGTAATACTTTCAACAATAAAGATAAATAAAAAATAATAGGAATAAAAATAAGATAAGGGGATAGACTACATACTCCCTAAGGTCCTTTCTTCCCTCAAGTTCTGACACTGATTTATTGACAGTATTAGAGATCAGTTACTCTATTAGTTATTCACTATACCACCCCATCATTGCAGACGTGACATTTTATTAACAACTCAAAGATTACAGAGACATAAATAAATGTGCATTTCTAGATTTTACCAATTATGTTACAGGTCATTAATAAGTCTTTGTCATCTTTTGACTCATACTTTGATCAGCTTGGGGTTTTGACTAAGTGATGTTTCTCTTTCTTGTTAGGATTCTACTAGTGTGTGGGACCATGGTGCTAATTACTGTGTGTTTTAACATAGCATGTCAGAAATTTTGTAAAACTATAAGCATACTATTTTCTTACAGTACCTAAGGGAAAATATATGTACATTGGACCACCTAAGACTAAGGAAGGTAACTTTTCATGGGAATCTAAGTAGAGAGAGAAATAGATTTTAGAATATACTATCTCAAAGTTCACTCATGTGTGGGATTTAAGCTAGGGCCTATAGATAAAAATTAGTATGTTAAACTGAAACACTAGAAATTATTCCTCCTTACTGTAAAAAAAATATCTGCTTCATGAAGTAGGGGAGCCAAGGATCAAATTCCAATACTTGGAAAAATATTGTTAGTTTATTTGTAAGTGGAAACTGTAGGCTTCTTGTTAACTTTAAGCCTATTACTGGATTTAATAAAAATTTTATTATACTGGTTACATACAGCCAAAAGAAAGAAGATGTAAAAATTTTCCATTTATTAGTAATCTGAAACAAGGAAAGAAATAGAGTTAATGAATGTATATGTCTTATTTTCCTGATTAAAAAGCTACCTATGTGGAAGTTGCTGTTCCTTTATTCATTTTGAACATTGATCTTGGATGTCATAAAATGACCTTTGTTTCCTTGATACGGTAGCATCTTTATTTATTTATTTATTTATCCTCATCCGAGGACATTTTTGCATTCATTTTCAGATAGAGCAGGAGGGAGAGAAGGGGGGAGAGAGAGAGCGAGAAACATCGATGTGAGAGAGACACATCGACTGGTTGCCACCTACACAACCCCAACCAGGGCCGGGGACAAACTGGAACCAAGATACGTGCCCTTAGCGGGAACTGAACCCGAGACTCTCTGGTCCGAAAGCCGATGCTCTAACTGCTGAGTAAAACCGGCCAGGGCTGAGAGCATCTTTAAGATATAATGTTGGTTGACTTTTTTCCTCTACTACTCTCAGGTATAATAAGATATTCCTGATATAAAATGTTATTTTATAAATTTATGTTGCTAGTTGACTTATAATATTATAAATTCCTATTCCTCCTTTCCTCCAAGTCTTGAAATCTTATTTTCACAGAAGTACAAAGGAGAGAAAATAAGTGACATAATATGATGTTATAAGCTTGTACCTCAAAAATCCCAGTAGCCCTGGCCGGTTTGGCTCAGCGGTTAGAGAGCATCGGCCTGCGGTCGGGAGAGACCTGGGTTCGGTTCCCGTTAAGGGCACGTACCTCAGTTGTGGTTTGTCCCCGGCCCTGGTTGGGTCATGTGGGTGGCAACCACTCGATGTGTCCCTTTCACATCGATGTTTCTCTCTCTCTCTCCCCCTCCCACTCTATCTGAACAAAATATCGAAAAAATGTCATCGGGTGAGGATAAAAAAAAAAATCCCAGTAATTTTATCATTTAGGATCCTTCTAACTGATATTTGGGATCTATAATATATAATTATTTTTAAAATATATGTTCGATTTTACTGTATTCTTGATCATGGCCTTCTGGCGCACTTCCTGAAATCATCCTTGCTAAGATGTTACTTACTGCTATTAGAGAACCTGGCTACAATCGCGATCAGGCTCATTGAGGAGCATCAGATAAGCTCAAATTCCCAGATTCTTTATGGTTTTGTCTCACAACTGAAAAAAATCTCAAGATCTGTCATCTTTAAAACACTACTAACCTCACTCTATGTGGCTTCAGTGTGTAACACTGATTTCCTCCTAAGTATCTCTTTAATATGCCTTCTATCTTCATTACTACCCTCCTAGTCTAAGATACCATCATCTCTTACCTGGACAACTACCCGGCATCTCTGCAACCACTCTTACCCCAAATATAATTCTGATGAATTATATTGGCTGGCCTTCTTTCAATTTCTTCAACATACCATGTTTCCTTCTATCTTTTTGCACATACTCTGTTCTCTGCTGGTAATAATTTTTCTTCCCCTTTTGCCAAGTTATCTTTGCCTAATAACACTCTTACTTCCACTCAATCAAAACTTCTTCAGGAAAACATTTCCCCACCTGCCAAAGTAAATGAGATGTTCATCTACCTCAAGGCACCCTTATTTTTCCTTTTTACAGTTTGTAAAAATATAGTTATCTGATTGTTTGATTAATCCATAGCTCATTTGTTGGACTAAACTCCATGAAGG